GATGGACTGTATAGTACAAGGGTACATTTGTCTGTTTCAAAGTGAATTTAGAGTGAAAACTCTACATTCCTTTGAGTTGTAAAACAATCTTATCTTGATGTGTGTCTTTGTTACCACGTTAACCAGAGGCCTGGTTTTCTCTACCACATGTTTTGCTTGTTGGGGAGGGGTATTGTCCACTATTTGTTAAATATAACAAATACTCAATAAAATAGAAAAAAAAAATGCAGAAACACATCTCGACTGTTTTGTCTGTGTAGCCTATAAGTATAGGCCTATGTCGTGCAATAACAGTTTTAATATATTCTATTCAATAACATTGTTAACATCGTTTGTCCACTGAATAATTACTCATTATTACATAAAAAGCGCTTCCGCACGAATCTCTACCTCCGCCAGCAGGTCCTCAATTTCAGACTCAGTAACGTTTTTCTTTTTCTTTGTGCTCATCATTCTAAAGCATAGAAATTTGGATATTGGCGTGTGCTCTTTTATATGATAATGTTATTAATTAGGGGGCGGAGATCTGACACCAGTCATCTGCGCACAATTTCAAGATCATTTGCGATTTATAAATGTCACATCTGGAAGAGAGGCGTACGCACGTGTTTTTGTGCGCACGTTCGTTTTCTCTGAATCGCACTTACGCACTTTTGAGAAATGATCTTAGAACAAATTTAGGACGGTTTATACGCAACATTTTATAAATGAGGCCCACGCACTTTTGAGAAATGATCTTAGAACAAATTTAGGACGGTTTATATGCAAAATTTTATAAATGAGGCCCCTGGTTCTCTCTACCACATGTTTTGCTTGTTGGGGAGGGGTATTGTCCACTATTTGTTAAATATAACAAATACTCATGTGTTTGATTGGTCCAAATGCTACAGCCCAAACAAGCTCAAATTTCATTGGACAATGTGAAGTGCAGCTGTAATTTCCAGCTGTTAATCATGAATCGGTTGAAAATTACGCAGCCACTGTCTGTTTTCAGTGTTTTTTATTTTTATTTTTAACAAATGTGAAATGGTTAAAATTGAAGTTGCATTAATAGTGTTTAATTTATTCTTGTTTATGTACTGCATACCCTTACGAAAATTAACCATGATTCCCTTTCATGGGAACTTCGAACTGCGTCCTCTAGGGGTCGCTATGGGGAACGCCTCGTCGTGACCCGTGTCTGAAGCATACATTGAAAAAACACCAACTCGTTGGCCGGCGACAGCCATGACGTCACTACCGGTGCGACTATAGTATAAATACATGCTGCGGACGCAAGCTTCAGACGAAGAAGTGAATGATGTATGCTCCCGGCACCTATTTATACTATAGTCGCACCGGTAGTGACGTCGCCGGCCAACGAGTTGGTGTTTTTTCAATGTATGCTTCAGACACGGGTCACGACGAGGCGTTCCCCATAGCGACCCTTAGAGGATGCAGTGTCTTGTTCCCTACTCAGGGAACCATGGTTACATAAGTAACCTGAGACGTTTTGCTACAAATAAAACCAAAAAACTATGGTTACTATAGTTAAACCATGGTAACCACAAATTAACCATGATTTTGCTACACTAACCATAGATTAACCATGGTATTTATAGTAAAACTGTGGTTATACAAATGGTAATCAATACTCCAAAAAACATTTTACTAAAACAACTTTTACTATAATAAAATCATGGTTAATTTTTGTAAGGGTATTGATATACTGTTTGATGAATCATGATCCAATGAAGCCCAAGTGCCACTTATAGTCTCTCTATATATATAGTTCAATTTAACTATAGTCCGTAGTTGTAGTGATTGATGCCCCTTCTTTTACATTGGAGCCCCTGAGGAACTCTCTGCACGTCCCTGCAGCACAGCTGTATTTGGATTCTTGGCGAGAGGCCGTACAATCGCAGACATTCTGATATTCAGACTAAAGGGGGTCGCACACCGGACGAGAAGCGCAGAGCCGCGCCGCGTCGCGCCACGTCTTTAAAATTCAAACACATTGTTTTCTATGAGAGTACGCACACTGCCGGCGCCATTCGGCGTCTGTCCGCAGCGCCCAGCTACGACTCAAAACGCTGTTCAAATTACTGCCGCGCCACAGAGCGCCATCTGCATAGTTTTATATTAAATAACATCATATTTGTCTCAAATCGTTGTTAATACATTATACCAAGATACCACTTCTTCAAAATACTACATACATTAGTTTTACAGCTTGAATAAAATGTAAACATATAGAATTAAATGTATAATAAACATAGTCCTTTTAATCTTTTATCTTTCTCTTGAGACATTTTTACATACGCAAAATATTACAATATTGGCTTATGTAACAATTGCCTGTTGTGATTACATTCACTATCGTCGGCTGCCACCTACTGGATTTACCAGGTCACAACCGCCACAACACACTTCAGGTAATTTAAATAGCGGAGTAGCGGACCACAATGGATGACGAAAAACTAATCAACGAAGTAGGGAAATACCCAGAATTATATGCAACAAACCATAGATTCTTCAAAGACAACATAAGGAAGTCATCAGCATGGAGGAAGATTGCCGATGTCATCGGTTTTTCAGGTAAGAATGTCTAATTTACGATCTGAGGTAAAATGTTCAGTGACAGACGTTAGCAACAACTGTATGTAATTGTATAGTAACGTTACAATCATAAAATAACGTACAGTACAGACATTGTCTTAATTTCATAATGTCCTTAAAAATAACAATAATGTTGACCACAAACTGACAATTATGTTATTTTAAGTAAACAAATCCTGATGTTGAATTAAGACAAACTACCTCAACAGGAATATGATTATAATTGAAGTTAACAAAGAAATAAGAATACCTTACACAAAAAATATGTAGCATCTTTGTTTTTATTGAGCAAACAAATCAATATTAGTAGCTACAGCATAAGAAATGTTGAAATTGCTTATAATAATACAAAACAATACTAATAATTGATGAATGGCAATCTAGCCTAATATTAATGCTAATGATAATCAGAGACTAAATTATGAGCTAAGCAGGAATAAGATATCTAGGAAGTGATCAAATCTAATATCAATTAAATTATTAAAGTAAAGTCAGTAAGGCAACACTATAGTGACCATTACACCATTTCATTCTGCCAAGATACATGTCCTTCAGAGTTGAAAAAAGAGCAGAATTTATCTCGAACAGTGTAGGCCTCCCTTGCACCACGAGGTCCACCAGCAGTAGAGATGCTCTCCATTGATCCAGTAGTTGGAGCACTGGTATTTAGCCACCTCTCTACTTCCATTGGCTTGAGAAGAAAGTTGTGCAGGAGGCATGCTGACAAAATAAGGCTGTTTATTTTGTCAGGGTGTATGTTGATCCTGCTACGCAGGATCCTCCAGCGAGATGACAAAATGCCAAAGGCATTTTCCACCACATTGCGCGCTCGAGACAATCTGTAGTTGAAGATGCGTTGTTGTGTGGATATGTCTCGACCAGGGTAAGGCCGCATCAGATAGGTTTTTAATGGGAATGCTGCATCCCCAACAATGGTGAATGGCATGTTCCCCAGGTGCTCTGCTCCTGGTAGCTGCTGATCATCTGGCACCTCCAGCTTTTTTGCATCCAATGTGTCTAATTTATGATCTGAGGTAAAATGTTCAGTGACAGACGTTAGCAACAACTGTATGTAATTGTATAGTAACGTTACAATCATAAAATAACGTACAGTACAGATATTGTCTTAATTTCATAATGTCCTTAAAAATAATAATGTTGACCACAAATTGACAATTATGTTACTTTAAGTAAACAAATCCTCATGTTGAATTAAGACAAACTACCTCAACAGGAATATGATTATAATTGAAGTTAACAAAGAAATAAGAATGCCTTACACAAAAAATATGTAGCATCTTTGTTTTTATTAAGCAAACAAATCAATATTAGTAGCTACAGCATAAGAAATGTTGAAATTGCTTATAATAATACAAAACAATACTAATAACTGATTAATGGCAATCTAGCCTAATATGAATGCTAATGATAATCAGAGACTAAATTATGAGCTAAGCAGGAATAAGATATCTAGGAAGTGATCAAATCTAATATCAATTAAACTATTGAAGTCAATAAGGCAACACTATAATGACCATTACACCATTTCATTCTGCCAAAATACATGTCCTTCAGAGTTGAAAAAAGAGCAGAATTTATCTTGAACAGTGTAGGTCACGGACGAGTTACAGGTGTGCCGAGTTACCACACAGGACCACCACTGTTTGGCAGCTGGAATGCTCCACATTAAAACGTAGGTTTTTAATGGGAATGCTGCATCCCCAACAATTGTGAATGGCATGTTCCCTAGGTGCTCTGCTCCTGGTAGCTGCTGATCATCTGGCACCTACAGCTTTTTTGCATACAATGCCTGCCCTATGGCTGAGCCAGCAAAGACACCCCCATCACTTGACCATCCATACTCTCCAATATGGACTAGACGGAAGCGATATTCAGCATCGACCACAGCCAATAATACTACAGAGAATGTTTTTTTGTAATTAAAGTAAAGGCTGCCTGAATGAGGTGGTGCAAAGAGGAGGATGTGCTTCCCATCTATCTAATTATTGTTTTGAAATCATTTCTTCTTTCTTCCAACAGCATAATATTATTACAGTGTAAATCAGATATACAAATAGGTTAAATAGAAAATTGCTTACCTCAATGTCACTGAAAGTTTTTCCTTTGGCCCAATTGGTGTCCGGTAATTTATAGACATCCCTGTGATGTCAGGTCCAATAACTGACAGCAGGTCCTCCATTTGCTGTGCACTCATTCTGAAGTACTGCAGGTGCTTTTCCGGGCTTATTCGCAGCTCCTGAACAAGGTGGTGGTAAGCGCCAAATTGTGTCCTTTTTCATTTAGAGGGTGTACCCAAATGCGATTGACACTTTTGAGGTTTTTTGTATTCTTCGACGTAAAAGTAGCAGTGCAGTAGTTTTTTTACTTTTGGGTTTTTTTTGTATTCTTCGACGTAAAAGTAGCAGTTCAGTCGTTTTTTTGTTGTCAGACAACATTTGATCTGTTTGGGAAGAACAGGAAAAACAGGGAATTCATACAAAAACCTTAATATGTTACATAAGTTAATTATACACCCACCGTGCGTCAACAGGAATGGAAATATGCTGCTGCGATTTCCTACCTGAATGTATTTCTACAAAATAGAAGGTAATATTTGTAGTTATGTAGTAATTGTAGTAATGTAGTAATTTGTAGTAATGCACTTCAAATTAACTTTGTAACAAAGAGTGCATATGACTAAAGTATGACTTGAAGTAGACTTTTAAAGGGATAGATCACCCAAAAATACAGTCCTGTATATATTTATATCTAGGACTATACAAACATTCAATGGCCACACCATGTTATTATCTATGATTTTCTTTATTTTCATCAGATCAGATTATTATTTTTTATATTGTGCATTATTTAGAAGTGAATATTCTTTATTACCATTCAATTAAAAATAAATATTATAAACTCAAACCTAAAATAAAATACAGTACATCTGTTTCATTGAAATAAAAACTTTACAATGTGTTTGGTTACGTTTTCACTCAAGGCTGGCTAGCTAATGTTAGCTATTGCTACTATGTAACATAGTTGCCTAGACAACAGATACAACAAAGCAATAACAGACTTATCATAACACAGATTATTTTCACTGATTAACGTTCAAAACTCAGCTATTATCAATTAAAATAATATATTTAAAATAATAGATATTATAAACTGAAACCTAAAATAAAATACAGTACATTTGTTTCATTGAAATAAAAACTTTACAATGTGTTTGGTTATGTTTTCACTCAGGCTGGCTAGCTAATGTTAGCTATTGCTACTATGTAACATAGTTGCCTAGACAACAGATACAACAAAACAATAACAGACTTATCATAACACAGATTCTTTTAATTGATTAACGTTCAAAACTCAGCTATTATCAATTAAAATAATATATTTAAAATAATAATAATAAATGAAGTTAAAACTCACCCATCTTGCAGCTCAGAACTTGATTCGAAATTGAACTCGCGCGTATAGAATGTGCGCGTCCGGTGTGCGATACCTCGAGTTGTCCTAGACGGGGCGCTGCGCTTCTCGTCCGGTGTGCGACCCCCTTAACACGTGTTTCACACATGATCTGTTTGCAGTATGCATGCAGTACTTTTTTTCAGTGCCAATGTTCACAGGTTGCAGCATTCACTCTGCACACGGATGCAGTCCAGCAATGTGTTGCAGGAGCTTTTCACCTCTGTGTGTTTTGGACAGACTGTCAGTCTGTGTGTTAGTGGAGGTTACTTCAGTTCAGGCTACATTGTTACGCTAGAAGGTGGCAGCAAGCTTTTATGAGTGAGTCAGTAAACCATTCATCCAACCAGTTTACTCAGAAATGCTGATTCAAGAAAGAAACAAAGTGTTAAAACTATTTGAACTTTGAACAAAATCTTATATGGCTCAAAGAATGTGTAACGCGGCTCAGGGGTAACGCTGACGATCAATTTATTGGCCAGCACTGAAAACTATCATGTGAAATTACTTTCTTTAGCAGACAACTGGCAAACTGTTCTTCATGCATATGTGACTGGAGCTGAAGAATGAAAGCTCTAACAGACTCAGGTAACCGTCTGATCCATTGTTGCTTGCTCTAACATTATGTTTTTGCATTAGTACCTGAGACATACACACTTATAAAAACTATTTTCCTCTTTCAGGCTGTACTGATGTAGAGCTATACTTGCTTGGTAGAAATCTGTGGGTCCCTGGGAGGGATTGTTGTGGTCCCCCATTAGCATCAATGACGTTTAAAGTTTAGTGTAAAGTTTAGTGACTTGCCACCACCTACTGGTGGTTTTAGTTTCATATTTAAAACATTTTTATCATATTTCTGTACTCAAAATTTTATATTTAAAACATGCCTCGAGTTGTCCTAGACGGGGCGCTGCGCTTCTCGTCCGGTGTGCGACCCCCTTAACACGTGTTTCACACATGATCTGTTTGCAGTATGCATGCAGTACTTTTTTTCAGTGCCCATGTTCACAGGTTGCAGCATTCACTCTGCGCACAGATGCAGTCCAGCAATGTGTTGCAGGAGCTTTACACCTCTGTGTGTTCTGGACAGGCTGTTAGTCTGTGTGTTAGTGGTGGTTACTTCAGTTCAGGCTACATTGTTACGCTAGAAGGTGGCAGCAAGCTTTTATGAGTGAGTCAGTAAACCATTCATCCAACCAGTTTACTCAGAAATGCTGATTCAAGAAAGAAACAAAGTGTTGAAATTATTTGAACTTTGAACAAAATCTTATATGGCTCAAAGAATGTGTAACGCGGCTCAGGGGTAACGCTGACGATCAATTTATTGGCCAGCACTGAAAACTATCATGTGAAATTACTTTCTTTAGCAGACAACTGGCAAACTGTTCTTCATGCATATGTGACTGGAGCTGAAGAATGAAAGCTCTAACAGACTCAGGTAACCGTCTGATCCATTGTTGCTTGCTCTAACATTATGTTTTTGCATTAGTACCTGAGACATACACACTTATAAAAACTATTTTCCTCTTTCAGGCTGTACTGATGTAGAGCTATACTTGCTTGGTAGAAATCTGTGGGTCCCTGGGAGGGATTGTTGTGGTCCCCCATTAGCATCAATGACGTTTAAAGTTTAGTGTAAAGTTTAGTGACTTGCCACCACCTACTGGTGGTTTTAGTTTCATATTTAAAACATTTTTATCATATTTCTGTACTCAAAATTTTATATTTAAAACATGCATTTCATACCATTATCTATGCAGTTGTAATTGCAGTGCAAATGCATTCATATCAGATCTGAGGCGCATTAAACATGTTG